AAAAATTCTAAAAAATAATCACAGCTGTCATCTGTCACTACCTTGCAATGTAAATGACACATCAAGAGAAAAATGACAAATATCAATCTGTCTACGCAGGACTTATAATTGTAATACTATAATTCATATAAAAGAAATTACATAAACTCTTGTACAACGATGCAGAAATCTCTTGAATACTATGTGGGTGGGGAAATTAATGTTAAATACCATTTTCACAAATTCTGCTATTAGAATTGTAATTTAATATTAGGATACCTTCTTCTGCAAATAGGGTTTAATGCACTATTTTTTAGCGTTTTGTGTTTCTGTGTAACTGACATGGAGATCATTGATTTTTGTAGAGTACTAAGTGCTTTAATGCCTCCTAAAGGATGATGGTTAGGGAATGCTTATGCTATTTATTTATAGGAACACTATAAAACTCTTCAGATACAATAACATGCCTTTTAGCCAGGTACTTCATTAAGAAATCAATGCAGAATTTTATAAAATGTCTATAATGCTTCTAGGGCATCATTACCAATGAATTTCCTTATTGAATATGACAGATGAGATTAACATCTGGTTCAGAGTTCAACAGGCAAATGGCTAGCTTCAAAGCTATAAGAGTCAATCCTCAGATAACAAAGTCACTTTGGTTCTCAAAAAATGTATAGGTCCAATAGAAGGCAGATTTGAATGAAATCTGAATTTGAATAGAATAGAGCAGGAAGGGACCTTGGAGGTCTTCTAGTCCAGCCCCCTGCTCAAGCAGGAGAACCTATACCATCTCAGACAAGTGACTGTCTAGCCTCCTCTTAAAAATCTCCAGTGATCGGGCGCCCATGATTTCTGGGGGCAAGGTGTTCCACTGGTTAATTGTCCTCACTGTCAGAAAGTTTCTCCTTAATTCTAGGTTGCTTCTCTCTTTGGTCAGTTTCCAACCATTGTTTCATTTGAATGAAACACAGTGCAGAGTTGGAAGAGTTCAGAGTTTTCTGAAGTAAGAAAGTCAACATCATAGAATTAAAAATGTATCTTCAATATAAAGAACACTATATAAGAAGACTGGGTGACTTTGGGCCAGACACTCTCTCCTAGCCTAACTCACCTTACCGGGTTGTTGTTGTGGGGAAAAGAGAAGGAGAAAGGAGTATTAACTATGAGCCCTGCCTTGAGTTACTTATAAATAATAAAGGCAGGATAATAATCTAATAAATTAAAAAACTATATAGCAATAGCAATAGCACTTAGACTTATAGACCACTTCATCGTGCTTTACAGCTCTCTCTAAGCCATTTACAGGGTCAGCCTACTGCTCCCCAACAATCTGGGTCCTCATTTTATCAACCTTGGAAGGATGGAAGGCTGAGTCACCCTTGAGCTGCTCAGGATCGAACTCCTGGCAGTCAGCAGTTAGCTTGCAATGCTGCATTCTAACCACTGCACCACCATGTAGTATGTTCCATTCCATTATATGATCCAATATCTAAATTAGCGACTTGCAAACATTGCATTTTATCACACACTGCAGAAACCTTCAGCGAGAAAACAATATTCAAATGTCATTACTATTTTGAATGGTTTAGTTTGCAAATAAAGGTAGTCCTCAGCTTATAAACATTCGTTTAATGACCTTTCCAAATTACAATGGCATTGAAAAAGTGGCTTATGTCCAGTTTTCACACTTATGACCACTGTCAGGGGATCAAACTTTGGGTGCTTGGCAACTGACATGTATTTATGATGGCTTCAGAGTTCCAGGCTCCTGGGATTGTCATTTGCAACCTTCTTAGGGAGATTCTGACAAGAAAAGTCAATGGGGGAAGTCAGATTCTGTTAATGACCACATGATTCAGTAATTCATTCAACAACCATAGCAAAAAAGGTCATAACATTGGTTGTGACTCACTTAACAACCGTCTTGCTTAACAATACAAATTCTGGCCTCCACTGTGGCTTTAAGTTGAGGACTGCTTATGAAGAGTTTCTAATATATAAGCCTTGGGACATGAAACTAGGGGGACTTCTGCTGCACTTCAACCAGCAAACAGAAAAATAGCAGACAGGAGTCCTTGGAGATGTTCATGAAGTCAAGTTCACAACTGAATTTAGATAGATAGATAGATAGATAGATAGATAGATAGATAGATAGATAGATAGATAGATAGACAGACAGACAGACAGACAGACAGACAGACAGACAGACAGACAGACAGACAGACAGACAGACAACTGTGGGCACATTGGCATACATTAAAAATGAAATTTTGTTGCTTGCTCTCAAAAGTGTACACATACATAACACACATTTAAATACGCTGTGTACAACATATGTATAAACCTAGACCTTTGCATATAAATAAAATTTAAATATTAATCTCTGTCCATCTTGAATACATAACGGAAAGAGGATGCTTTAGAGTTCACAAGGTTAATACTGTCTGGAACAAAACTATAACTGAGTCTGGATGTTTTGCTTCAGATACCACGAAGCCTCCTCCCAAAAGGTAACAAGGAAAACAGGTTGTGAAGAGGATGTGTAGCGTCCCAGACAATCTTGTGGACCCTGCTCAAGCAGTGCTTGTGTGCTATGTCCTGGATGGAAAGGAGGGAACTGCCAATAATCTTTTCTGCCACTCTCTGCACCACCTTCCTGTCTGAAGCAGTGATGCTTCCAAACCAGACTGTGATGCTGTATGACAGGATGCTCTCAATCGTCCCTCTGTAGAAGGGGGTCAGGACAGGGGAAGGAAGATGTGCTTTTCTCATGCGACACACAAAATGCAGGCCCTGCTGTCCCGCTTTACCAGTGTCTCACTGTTGAGCGACCAAGCCAGCCTACTCATTAACTGCACACCCAGAAATATGATGCTGGAAACCATTTCCACAGGTGAATCATTCTCTTTTTATAATGGAGATTTAAATTATTTTAATGTTGAGACCTGGTATAGGGTAATAGTTAAGATGCTGGATCAGAGCAAGGTTCTAGTCCTCTGTTAGGCAAGGAAAACAGCTGAATACCTTGGGCCAATCACTCTCTCAGCTCTAATCATCAACAGGGTTTGTGACAAGCTTGCTGAAAAGCAAAACTCTTCATTGCTTCATGCATGCATCACTTTTCTATGTGAATTGTAGCAAGTACAGGGCAAAATACAGGACCTTCAACCAAGCAGGACAAATGCTAGGAACAACTGAATTCTTTCCAGTTATTTCCTCTACAGCAATGATATGCTGGGACAAGATCACAGTCTATGTTATATAGAAATAATATAGAAATAAATGAGAGTTAAGAACACAAAACACTTGTGCGTAGGCACAAAAGATTAAAAGCACCCAAACGCAATCTTTAACATTTTATCAATAATGGATTAGACTTTTTCTTTTATAAACACCACTTTACAACTGCATTATTTCACCGTTACAAAATCCTTTCAATATCAGTTTACTTGGTGGCAGAAAAATGTGGTTGTTTTTATGTTTTATGTTCAGTATTCTAAGCAGACATAAGGGAAGAAAAGAGAGGGAGAACTATAACCCATTAAATGGGTTATAGACTTTCCGAGTTTCTATAGAAGCAGTTGAAAGTATTTATTTAAAATGCATCTCACTGCTTGAAAAAGCTCAAGGCTAATAAAATGAATAAAACGTCAAACTCATAATCTAAAAACAAGGTTTATATAGCAATAACAAATCAGAACACTGAAACATGATTTTACTTGTAGAGAGTAAGGAAGATGACCCACCATAAGTTACCTTGAGGTAAGATGAGTGACCTTTAAAATTTATAAATAGATAGATAGACAGACAGATAGACAAGACTGAAGCATTTTTTAAGTCCCTAATTTCCTGAACTATTAAAAGGAGGAGGAGGAGGAGGAGGAGGAGGAGGAGGAAGAGGAGGTGGTGGTGGTACAGCACAACCAAACTCGCAAAGTTCTGTTATGATAGCCTATTGCAATAAAAATAGTTTTAGTCCTTTGTGGAGTTGATTTTCTGGTCTGGTCTACCTAGTGGGGATGACATAAATAATCTACAGGTAACTCTCAACTTATGAACATAACTGAGCCCAACATTTTTGTTGTTAAACGAGACAGTTGTTAAATGAGCTTTGCCCATTTTATGACCTTTCTTGTCACAGTTGTGTTAATCGAATCACTGCAGTTGTTAACTTAGTAACATGGTTGTTAAGTGAACCTGGCTTCCCTATTGACTTTGCTTATCGGAAGGTCGCAGAAGGTGATCACACAGCCCTGGGAAACTGCAACCGTCATAAATATGTGCCAGTTGACAAACGTTTCCAAACGTTCAAGTTTTGATCATGTGACCACGGGGATGCTGCAATGGTTGCAAAAGTGAAAAATGTTCATGTCACTTTTTTCAGTGCCGCCCTAACCCCTAACGGTCACTAAATGAACGGTTGTAAGTCAAGGACTACCGTGGTGGCGCAGTGGTTAGAATGCAGTATTTCAGGCTAATCCTATCGACTGCCGGCAGTTCAATCCTGACTGGCTTAAAGTTGACTCAGCCGTCCATCCTTTTGAGGTTGGTAAAACGAGGACCCAGATTGTTGGGGGGGCAATATTCTGACTCTGTAAACTGTTTAGAGAGGGCTGTAAAGCACTGTGAAGCGGTATATAAGTCTTAAGTACTATTGCTATTGCTATTGTATTGGCACTGGATTTTCCAGGCACTTTCATTGTTAATAAAACAAAACAAATGAATAATAAATCAAGGCCAAAGAAGAATAAATTTAAAAGTGTCAAAAGTAATTATTTAACGTCTGTTCCTCTTTATTCATATACAGTACTTTCATTATGACAAATATGCTTAAATCGTCTAAAAGATTTAAAATGCTTAAAACCATCTAAAAACAATCAAATAAGCTTAATTATTCTATATCAATTGGATTATGGGTTACTCTTTAACCTAAAACTGTTACATATATTAACAGCAGCCACTATTACTTCATTTGCTTAGTGCATCAAACATGATAGTAAAGTTCAGTATTATCTTACAGTAATTCAGCTGAGAAATCTTGTCCCAGTGGTACGTAAATTTGAAGTACCAAAAATTGCTGGATCAGTCCAACTACAGCAAAATAAAAGAAATAAATTGGGAATAACATGAATATTCAATACTTTCATATTTCTCAAAATGTATCTACTATGAAAATAAAGAATAGAATTTAATTATTTTTGAAATATGTTCTTAAAAACAATTTGTGCTCTGAGTAGAACTAGAACAAAATATGGAATCTAATTATTTTATTTACAGTTTCCCACTTTGTTGACAGGGTGCATATTCAAAATATATTCTACAAGGACACAAAATTAATTAATGTCTTAACATTGTGACATAAATTCTTGCAAAAATGCATAATAATTGAACTTACAGATGACCAACATAAACTTTAGTTGAGCCATTTAAGCAATTAATGCCACAGCAAAATTGAATTTAGAAAAAGTGTGGACAAGTAAGGGTTTAATCTAATCTGAATGTTCAAAATGAAATGGGTAATTTAAATTGGAAATTTAACAGCAAAGGTTCTTGTAAAATCAAAATGTGAAAATGGCTTTCAGGAATAAAGCCTGAACAAAATCTGAATGTATTGCTCTTGAGGCTGCTTTAACACTCATATGAAATCTAAATAGAAGCTGCCAATTCTGAAAGAAAATCCTCTTACTTTTCTAAGACCACCTCACTGTGAACCTTAATGGAACTGACACTCTAGATACTTACCTGTCTGTCTGCCTGCCTGCTAGTCAATAGGTTAGTAAGTCTCCCAGAAGATCTTTCTATTCACTACTTTAAGCTGAATGTTGGACCTTTAAACTGATTGTACTGGGCCCTTCTTCTATTCTTATGAAAAATAACCGCATTTTTCAAATCACAGGAATCAGGGAAGTATAGGATAGAATCTCAATGTATTCAGTTTGGAAGGACTATGCTAAGAATATTGAGTATGAGAACAGCAACGGAAAAAAATCTGTTCTAATCACCAGGTTAAACAACTACAGGTAGTCCTTAACTTACGAACACAGTTGAGCCCAAAATTTCTATTGCTATGTGAGACATTTGTTAAGTGAGTTTTGCCCCATTTTACGACTTTTCTTGCCACTGTTGTTAAGTGAATCACTACAGCTGTTAAGTTACTAACATGGTTGTAAGTGAATCTGGCTTCCCTATTGACGTTGCTTGTCAGAAGGTCACAATATGACATCAGGACACTGCAACAGTCATAAATATGAGTCAGCTGCCAAGTTTCTAAATTTTGACTGACAGTGATTCTCCAGTATCTCCATGGGGATACTGCACTGGTTGTAAATGTGAAAAATGGTTATAAGTCACTTCTTTCAGTTCCGTTGTAACTTTGAACAGTTATATGAAGAACGGCTACAGGACTTGAGCTTGGCTAGTCTAAAGAAAAGAAGAAATGGGGGAGATATGATAGCAGTGTTCCAGTATTTGAGGGCCTGCCACAAAGAAGAGGAGGTCACGTTATTCTCCAAAGCACCAGAGGGCAGGACAAGAAACAATGGTTGGAAACTGATCAAAGAGAGAAGCAACCTGGAATTAAGGAGAAACTTCCTGACAGTGAGGACAATTAACCAGTGGAACAGCTTTCCTCCAGAAATCGTGGGCGCTCCATCACTGGAGGTTTTTAAGAAGAGTCTGGGCAGTTACTTGTCTGAGATGGTATAGGTTCTCCTGCTCGAGCAGGGGGCTGGACTAGAAGACCTCCAAGGTTCTATTCTATTCTGTTCTGTTCTGTTCTGTTCCGTTCCATTCCATCCTATTCTGAAAAATCACACTTCAGCAGAAGTGAGCCAGGCTGCTTAGACCTACCATTGTAAAGTGGGGTCTTTGCACGCTCCTTGAAAAAGTTTTGCTGATGATTGATCTCCAGGTTACTTCAAGATACAGCAGAGAGATGTAATTTTCTTGCATGGCAAATTATATCCTCAAAGGGTATTGTCAAGGAAGACTCCAATACTCATGCAACACGTATACAATTTGTTAGTTTGTACACGTGTCTCCCTGGTAAAACTCTAAGCATCTACTGCAGTATGCAAAACTTATCCGAAGCGGAAGAATTTCCAAACTATCTCAATGAAGGGCTCAGAATGGTGTCCAATTATCAACAGATAAATGTTGAGCAAACCCCACGGTCAGGTATCTAGTAATTTATGGAAAATTTATCCAGATTGAATAAATTATATCAGCCCCTAGAGGTGTTTTTTTTTAAATAAAATAAAATAAAAATACTTTGCCTAGCATTTTAAGGGGAGACCTAAGACTACAGGTAGTCCTTGACTTAGGAACACAATTGAGCACCAAATTTCTGTTGATCAGTGAAACATTTGTTAAGTGAATTTTGCCCTATTTTACAACCTGTCTTGCCATAGTTATTAGTGAATCACTGCAACTGTCAAGTGAATCACTGCAACTGTTAAGTTAGCAACACTTGTTATTAAGTGAATCTGGCTTCTCCATTGACTTTGTTTATAATAAGGTCGCAAAAGGAGGATCATGTGACCCTAGGACAGGGGTAGGCAACCTTGGCTCTTTTATGACTCGTGGACTTCAACTCCCAGCATGGCTGGCTCAGGAATTCTGGGAGTTGAAGTCCACGAGTCATAAAAGAGCCAAGGTTGCCTACCCCTGCCCTAGGACATTGCGACCGTCATAAATATAAGTCAGTTGCCAAGCGTCTGAATTTTGATCAAGTGACCGCGGGGATGCCGCAATGTGAGTCACTTTTTTTCAGTGCCATTGTAACTTTGAACTGTTGTTAAGTCGAGGATTGCCTGTATTTTTATGGCAGCAACAGTGTTACAGCCTTCTTGTCTGAAAGAATGGCAGCAAGGCTTAACCGTGCTTTTAAATATCCCTCTAAATTTTTGTTTCTAGAAATATAATTATTTCTAAATGAATTTAAATGGCCCATTAAACAGCCCTAGATCCTTTGCAAAATGCAATCTAACATTGGGTTAAGGTTATTTTTAAAGACTGTTAAGTATAGGGAAAAAAAGACTGTATTTACTGAAAACTATTGTATGCGAAGGTTCATATTGACTTACTGTTGTAGCAAAAAATAGTGACATAATAGCAAACATCTTAATTCCTAGAATTCCTCTCAGTTTACTTATAACTCTGGATTTCAGCTCCATTCCTGCAGTCCCATGGAGGATTTTCTTTCCATGCAAGGAGGAGAGGGGAAACCCTTCGGTGGGCTGTAGGAACATTTNTTGAGAGGATAAGGGATGCCTGCTGGGAAGACTTTAGCTCTGCACAGAGCTAAAACCATCTGGCAAACAGCCCTTTCACTCTCAAAGAGCTGCTTGCTGGAAGGATTTCAAGCAGAGCTAAAATCCTTTGGTAGATAGATCTTTTGTTAACAACCTGGGAGACTGATTAATGACTGCAACTGGGAGTGCTGGGATTGGAGTTGTTGAGTGAAGCACACATCTTGTTTAATGACTGCTTTGCTCAACATCTCAGATCCCAGTCCCAATTGTGGTCGTTAAACGAGGATTACCTGTATAGGAAGGGATATTTCATCCTTAAATGCAGATCATGTGCCTACCCAAACTGTACTCTTCTAAAATGCCCCCCTTTTCTTCTAAAGCAAGGAATTTACTCTTTGACTGGGAATGCAGTTCAATATTTTGTTCATAAAAGTACCCAACTAGTCAAGAAGGACAAAGATAAACTGTTAGGAAGAAGCTTGGAAGCTAAAGACCCTGGCCTGATTGGTCCTTATTGTAAACAAATGTTTTATAACTGGTCATGCCTCTTATAAAACCAATCTTGTGAGGAAGAAAAAGTCTGCCAGGGCAGCCATTTTTCTGCGAATACCCAAAGATGGTTTTTTTTGTAAGTGTGCTGTATTGTGCCTTTAACGAAAGCTTGACTTTGCTTGCTCTCCAACCTTTCTTGTACTTGTTTTTGTACAAGCTTGTAATAAGTATTTCTTTGCTCCAGGACTTATTTGAGTTTAAGTAAGTGGCCAGCACTTAGAGAGTATCAGAAGCCTTGTCTGGATTCTAATGGAGAATTAGTGAAGCAGTACCTATGGGTATATACACTTCACGGCCTTATTTTCCACTCCTATTTCAAGGGAATTTATCCCAGAATGGGAAATGCTGGAACAGAAACTTCATTTGCATTTGACTGCAAATAGGATAGTGGATTTCTCTAAGAAACTGTACACTCAAGAAATATTTCTTGTTACACATAGTGTATGAGCAGGAAGGCCTAACAATATATAATTCTTTTGAAAAAAAAATTTAGACACTGCAGTTCCAAATTACACTGAAGAAATTTTGTCAAAGGCTGGAATATACTACACACCTTGCAAGAATATTGTTTCAATATTATTCATTTTGAAAATACATGCAAATTTTGTAGACATGGAAAGATTTGTCATATAACTCAAAAGGTCATCAACAGTGAATTTTAGTCAATACCTTTTGACACAATGACAGGTTTGCAATCAGTATAAAAGACAGAAAAACAAAGGAAAGCATTTTGAAGATCCAATGGTAGGGGAAAAAGTTTAAACATCCCATACAGTTGAAATAACCAAAAGCCATTGGTTAAAGTACAATTAGATTAACATCCATCAAGAAGTGGTATAGAGTAATGATCATTGGAAAGAAATGGAAAAATGCTCCTATAAATGTTTTTAGATCTGAGAAATTACAAGCTAAAGGCAGCAGTAATTACAACTGAATAAGTCTGTGTCTCTGTAGTGAGACAGTAAATTACCCTTGGAATTGTTTTGCATTTGAGAAAATCTTATCATAAGTAGGGCACAAAAAGTCATAAGCATGTAAGTCAGGTCACTGCATAGTAATGAAAAACAATACGGTGTTTGTGATTAGATATAAGCAATTTATTTAATAGAATAGAAAAGAGCTGGAAGGGACCTTGGAGGTCTTCTAGTCCAGCCCCCCGTTCAAGCAAGAGAACCTATACCATCTCAGACAAGTGACTGTCCAGTCTCTTCTTAAAACCTCCAGTGATGGTGCACCCACAATTTCTGAAGGCAAATCGTTCCACTAGTTAATTGTCCTCATTGTTAGGAATTTTCTCCTTAATTCCAGGTTGCTTCTCTCTGATCACTTTCCAACCATTGTTTCTTGTCCTGCCCTCTGGTGCTTTGGAGAATAATTTGTGGCAACCTCTCAAATACTGGAATACTGGTATCATGTCACCCCTATTTTTTCTTTTCTTTAGACTAGCCAAATCCAAGTCCTGCAGCTGTTCTTCATATATTTCTGAACTTTTTCCAAGGTCTAAACACTTTTTTTGTAGTATGGTGACAAAAATTGGTTGCAGTATTCCAGGTGTGATCTCACTAATCTTTATAACTTATGGAGAAGTCTTTATATACAATGGTTGCTGAATGTCAAGCCTTAAAAACTATATTATTGTTTTGTGATGAAAATTTCTTCTAGTATTTGGAAGGATAGTATATGAACCTTTGGTTTCAGTGTGTTTGAGCTTTTAACATAAGAACAATTGTTTGCTTTCTTCAGCATATACATACTGGTTTAGCAGCAGGCTTCTGTCATATATGGATATAAAAGGTAGGTAATGCTTGATAGATTATATGACAAATGGAAAATCCAGCAGAAACACCAAGAGTTTAGTTATTGCAGAGTGACAGGAGTTGAGAATGCAAGTTTATGAAATATTAGCATTAGAATATCCCAACAACTGAAGAGATCTGGAGTCATCTTATAGGTGTAAAATATTTTTTTATCTTGTTGATGAGAACAATAGGTATTGTTAGGTGAAATTGGAAGAATATTGATCACATTTAACTAGATCCTTGGGATGATATTACTTCATTGTTTGCTCTATCAACTTACTTGAAAAAGCATTCAAAGAAAAAAAATTAAGAACTCTTTGGCAGTATAAAACTGGTATATATTAGAGATGTACCAATTCAAAAATTAAACATTCCAGAGAAACTGGTAATTGCCAAACCACCCCTAAAATTCAGGGAAGGTTCAACATGGTCTGGAAGGTCCCACCCTATTTTTTTTTTTACTTTAATGTTGAACAAATACAGCTAAAACTGCAACTAGACAAGTATTATTCAGCTAACCCAATGCTAACTTAATTAACAGCTAGGGCTGTGCATAGCACTAGAAACAGCTGCTTCACAAAATACCTTAGTGTAATCAAAATATATCTGCAAGAAGCATTTTATATTTGGAATGTAAATGTTGGAAACATTTCCAACCTTTGGAATGACCGTATAGCTGCTTCAAAAGCACTTTCCAGCTATCTGCCTGTTTATGTGCTTGAACAGTCAATTCGTTTAGTGAAACATACCACTGGAGAACAGCCTCATGAATCTTCTGAAGGGCAAGGCTGTTTGAAGCTTCATAAAGGGATGTTTTGTTCCCATTAATATACTTGGTGCACCACTTGTTCTGAAAACATCACACAGTCTAGTATGTTTTATGACATTTTATAATACTTTTATACTTACGGGCCTGCTTAGTTTCTTTTGGAAGCTGCATCTTGTTGGTTTGACCGCTTCCTTCCAGGACAATGACGAAACCTTTCACTTCCTTATCATATTCCTAACAAACCAACAAAAAGCGTGTCACCATCAAAATATCCCCTGCAGCTGAATAAATGCATCAACTGCAAGATTTATTAGTCATAATGCCTACTTGCATATGACAGAAATGGTTAGCCACACTCATACTTTGTAACTGTTAAGGTGAGTGATATGTTTGGTTGTAGGTCAGGAATTGCCAACATGCTTAAATGGTATTTTATAAGTCTAATACAAGTGGAAAGCTGGAGTATTAAAATGGAATGGATGCAAAGCCTGTACGTTGATGTCAAGAGATAATATATGTTGAATTCACTGCCCAGTATAGCATAATTCTGAAAATGCACACCGGATCCACTGAAAATAACTCTTTTTTGTGAAAAATGGCTTTACAGTTAGGATGTCAGGACTATCTTCCACTTAGTATGTCAAAATATCATCCTTCATTTCACTAATATTTACCATATTTATTTTATTGGTTTTTCTGTCTTGACACCAACCTGCCATATTAAAAACAGTGGCTTGCTTCACCATTTTACCCACATCAGGAAAAGCCTGAGCAGTTTTATGCAATTAGTTTAAGTAAATGAAACTGTGGGAAGTCAGAGCCCCAGAGAAGGAAATATTAAAAAGGAAAAAAATATTTTTCACCAAAAGGATTTTTTAAAAGCATTTTTTGAAAAGCAGAAACCAAACCTGGCCTCATCTCTTTGCCCAAAGCAGTAACTAGTCTTATACATATGCAGATGTGGAACCATCAGGAAGTTTGGAGCCAGGGATCTCAAGACAAAAGAAGCTCTTAAGAGTCATTAGCCCCATTACCAGGGAGGCAGGAGATGATTTTTGGGACATAATAGGACTAACCCATTACCATCAAGTAATACCAGAGAGGCACACCTGGGCTCAGGTCAGAATACGTGACACAGGAAATAGCCTCAAAGTTCATGCCACAGGAACAGGAAGACTTCCAAACAAAAAGCTAGAGAGGGTATAAAAAGCTACTGGCCATGTGCTCAGTCTCTTCTTCTCTCCTCTGCTCTTTCCTGAAGAGCCATCTTTCTGCTTCTGCAATAAACTGTAACCATCTTCCCAAAGCAGTTGCCATGTTGCTTATTTAATAATAATAATAATAATGATAATATTCCCGGCTTGGATGACTAAAAGATTTTTTTTATTATATAGAAAACACAAAGACACAAACAAATATCTTTATCTTGTATGCTGCACAGTGTCATATACTGTATATGAACATGGGTGGCTATATAAATTTATCAAATATAAATAAATAAATAAATATCCACACCCACCCACCAAAATATATTCAAACAGAGATCTTAAACACACAAAAACCTAACAAATTTTATCTGCATTTAAACTAGTTATTCTGCCCTGATAAAAGGAATGATGGAGGTATTTTTTTCGAAGTTAGTCAAAGCTTTCATTTTTTTAAAGAAAAAAATTAAACTCTACACTTTATAATCAGGCTTTTACCATTTCTTTCCAAAACATACTTTCCCTATGACTGAAGGATTGCCAGAAATTTTCCATTTGGTCCCAGTGTTCTTGCCTTGAGCACTGAAGATTTCAACGAATGGGCCACCCTGCAATTAAAAAAAGAAAGAATCTGTCCCATTGTCATAAGAAATCAGCAAGGGTAATACTTAATTCATAAGTACATCTATTCAATATTCATTCTTTCAATGAATATGAAGTGTCATTGTGAGCTTCTTTCATCTGGATGCTCAACTGGCAACAGAAACTAGAAGTACAATTCAGTAGTTTATACTACCACAGTAGATGTACTCTTTTTTGGAGAAAATGGATCATGTTGCAGCAACTTCCATTGTACTGTAATATTGTTGCCTTTGGAAAGTGTCCCAAAACTTCATTTAGTCTGGATTAATTGGGGCTCTCTAAATAGAATATATTATTTTAAGGTGCTGTGCTTATCTATAAATCTATAAACCTAAAGTGCTACATGATACAGGATCTGGTTATTTGCAGAACTGCCTATATACTCCACTGTGTCCGTCCATCCCACCAGATCTAACTGGGTCCCATGTTCCAAGTGCCTTCTGTGAAATAGTGCCAACTAGTGGGCAAAGAAACGTACAGAAGGCCAAAGAATGACTGCCTGATTATTTACAATGAAAGACTGAGAGATACAGGACATAAGGACAAGGGGGGGGGAGAGAGAGAGAGACAGAGAGAGAGGGAGGGAGAGAGAGGGAGAGAGGGGAAAAAATAGTGTATACTGGACAAGTAAGAAAGAAAATAAAAATAATATCACAACAGTAATGTAATGAAATTGCTTGTAATAGAAAAGAATTATGTTACGGAGTGCCATAGAAATGTGAAATTATGCTAATAGGGAGCATTAAAAAGAAGTTTGGTAGAATGATGAACTGAAAGAGGCTACGGATGAGAAAAAATATGCAAAACAGCAGAAATGAGGATGAGAGAAAGATATACCATGTATACAAAGCGAAAAAGACAACTGCAGAGAGGAATGGTTATGTTTAGAAGGGTGAGAAAATGCAGAATTTTTGATGGAAATGATAAAGAGTTTGGGGAGTGAAAAGGGCTGAACAAGGAGCATCCAAGAGAATGAATGAAATCAAAAATTTAAATGATCAAATCACGGATGATGATATTGAGGTGAGGAAATGTTGGAAGCAACATTTTACAGGTTAACATGGCATTGATAGCCATACATCAAAGACTGGACCTGAAATGAATGCTACAAATGTTAGTATCCAAGAAAAAAAAAAGATGAAAGTCATAAATGCTGTGAGAATATTACAAAGTAATAAGGCTGCAAGGGTGGATAATATAATGTTAAATTTGGATATGATTTGTTTGCAGAGTAGCAGTGTGACTTGTTTAACGTTTGTGTGAAGTCTGACAGTTGGAGGAATGCATTATTGTTCCTCAATGTAAAACGAAAAATAATAGAAGTGAATGCTAAAAAATATAGAATAATAATAATGATGATGATGGAAGGGACCTTGGAGGTCATCTAGTCCAACCCCCTGCTCAGGCAGGAAACACTAGACTATTTCAGACAAATGGCTGTCCAGTTTCTTCTTAAAAACTTCCAGTGTTGGAGCATTCACCACTTCTGGAGGCAGGTTGTTCCACTGGTTAATTGTTCTAACTGTCAGGAAGTTTCTCCTTAGTTCTAGGTTGCTTCTCTCCTTGATTAGTTTCCATCTGTTGCTTCTTGTCCTGCCTTCAGGCGCCTTGGAAAATAGCTTGACTCCCTCTTCTTTGTGGCAGCCCCTGAGATATTGGAACACTGCTGTCATGGACCCCCTCATCCTTCTCTTCATTAAACTATACCCAATTCCAGCAACCGTTCCTTATATGTTTTAGCCTCCAGTCCCCTAATCATCTTTTTTGCTCTTCTCTGTACTCTTTCTAAAATCTCAACATCTTTTTTACATCGTGGTGACCAAAACTGGATGCAGAATTCCAGGTGTGGCCTTACCAAGGCATTGTAAAGTGGTATTAGTACTTCACGTGATCTTAATTCTATCCCTCTTAATGCAGCCTAGCCCTGTGTTGGTCTTTTTGGCAGCTGCAGCACACTGCTGGCTCATATTTAAGTGATTGTTCATTAGGACTCCGAGGTCCCTGTTACTACTATTGAGCAAGGTACCTCCTATACTATACCTGTACATTTGGTTTTTCTTGCCTAAATGTAGAACCTTACTTTTTTCACCATTGAATTTCATTTTGTTAGATAGTGCCCAGTGTTCAAGTCTGTCCAGATCCTCCTGTATCTTAAGCCTGTCTTCTGGAGTGTTGGCTATTCCTGCCAGCTTGGTGTCGTCTGCAAATTTGATGAGTTCCCCATCTATCCCCTCGTCCAAACCGTTGATGAAGATGTTGAAGAGCACTGGGCCCAGAACAGAGCCCTGGGGCACCCCACTACACACTTCCCTCCATGTAGATGCGGTTCCATTGCGGACCACACGCTGAGTACAGCCGGTCAGCCAGCTACGGATCCATCTGGTGGTGATGATGTCTAACCCACATTTTTCTATCTTATCAAGTAGTAGGTTGTGGTCTACTTTATCAAATGCCTTACTGAAGTCCAAGTAAATTATATCCACAGCATTCCTCTGATCCACTAATTTTGTCACTTGGTCAAAGAATGCAATAAGATTTGTCTGGCATGATCTGTTTTTGACAATTCGTAGTGTGACTTTGAGTAACTAATCTCTCATTCAGTTCAATACACCAAAAAGATGAAAACAAAAAAAGAAAAGGCATAGCCACTCTGCACAATCAAACTCTTTAAAAAACAGGTTCATTTAATGCCCAGCCCAAAACACAAGGAAATAATAGATCTTCAAGAACATTATTTGATAAGAAGTTGTAATGGGAATAAATGGAATGCTTAATAAATATTTTGGGTTTGTGAAGGGAATAAGACTAGGATTTCTGATGGCCACTTCATTGTTTAATACGATCATGTGTAATGTTTAAGGAAGTGTAGTGACATTAGAGATGTGTTGTTGGAGCTGTGAATGCAAATAATGCTCTATTGTTGGATGAGAGCCGCAATAACTTGCAGTTGNATTCACCACTTCTGGAGGCAGGTTGTTCCACTGGTTAATTGTTCTAACTGTCAGGAAGTTTCTCCTTAGTTCTAGGTTGCTTCTCTCCTTGATTAGTTTCCATCCGTTGCTTCTTGTCCTGCCTTCAGGCGCCTTGGAAAATAGCTTGACTCCCTCTTCTTTGTGGCAGCCCCTGAGATATTGGAACACTGCTATCATGGACCCCCTCATCCTTCTCTTCATTAAAGTATACCCAATTCCAGCAACCGTTCCTTATATGTTTTAGCCTCCAGTCCCCTAATCATCTTTTTTGCTCTTCTCTGTACTCTTTCTAAAATCTCAACATCTTTTTTACATCGTGGTGACCAAAACTGGATGCAGAATTCCAGGTGTGGCCTTACCAAGGCATTGTAAAGTGGTATTAACACTTCACGTGATCTTGATTCTATCCCTCTGTTAATGCAGCCTAGCACTGTGTTGGTCTTTTTGGCAGCTGCAGCACACTGCTGGCTCATATTTAAGTGATTGTTCATTAGGACTCCGAGGTCCCTGTTACTACTATTGAGCAAGGTACCTCCTATACTATACCTGTACATTTGGTTTTTCTTGCCTAAATGTAGAACCTTACTTTTTTCACCATTGAATTTCATTTTGTTAGATAGTGCCCAGTGTTCAAGTCTGTCCAGATCCTCCTGTATCTTAAGCCTGTCTTCTGGAGTGTTGGCTATTCCTGCCAGCTTGGTGTTGTCTGCAAATTTGATGAGTTCCCCATCTATCCCCTCGTCCAAACCGTTGATGAAGATGTTGAAGAGCACTGGGCCCAGAACAGAGCCCTGGGGCACCCCACTACACACTTTCCTCCATGTAGATGCGGTTCCATTGAGGACCACATGCTGAGTACGACCGGTCAGCCAGCTACGGATCCATCTGGTGGTGATGCTGTCTGACCCACATTTTTCTATCTTATCAAGTAGTAGGTTGTGGTCTACTTTATCAAATGCCTTACTGAAGTCCAAGTAAATTATATCCACAGCATTCCTCTGATCCACTAATTTTGTCACTTGGTCAAAGAATGTAATAAGATTTGTCTGGCATGATCTGTTTTTGACAATTCGTAGTGTGACTTTGAGTAACTAATCTCTCATTCAGTTCAATACACCAAAAAGATGAAAACAAAAAAAGAAAAGGCATAGCCACTCTGCACAATCAAACTCTTTAAAAAACAGGTTCATTTAATGCCCAGCCCAAAACACAAGGAAATAATGGATCTTCAAGAACATTATTTGATAAGAAGTTGTTATGGGAATAAATGGAATGCTTAATAAATATTTTGGGTTTGTGAAGGGAATAAGACTAGGATTTCTGATGGCCACTTCATTGTTTAATACGATCATGTGTAATGTTTAAGGAAGTGTAGTGACATTAGAGATGTGTTGTTGGAGCTGTGAATGCAAATAATGCTCTATTGTTGGATGAGAGCCGCAATAACTTGCAGTTG